TATGTAAAAAGTTTTCATTAAGTTTAATAAAGATAAGAGCATGGTCTCACCTTTAATATTAAAAAAAAAAAAAAAAATTTTGACTGAATTTATATTTTAATTTTGTTTGGAATTATGTCATTTTGATTTTGCATGATTTGTCTTCGAAACAAGCTTAAAAAATTGTCAAAATTTTATTGTTTAAAGAATCTATTTCTAACCGGGTTATATTTAAAATTTCGGATTGAATTAAAGTTAATATCATTAATAAAATATATTAATATTTAGATAATTAATATAGTACAAAGTTTAGAATTGCATTATTTAGAAAATTCTTAATTTAAGAAGTAATTTTTTAATTAATATTATTTAATTCAATAAAGTAATTTTTTAATTGATAAATAATTATTTGGCTATTAAGTTTTTTGTCGAATTTCCAATCAATTGAATCATTTAATCGATTTGGTTTAAATTTGACAAATTTGACGCATGTGCTGTGTTAAAATTTTTTATAAAAAGAAAAATAAAAAATAAAAAAAAATCATATTAATTTTTAAAAAAATGGAAAAGAATTCTGTAAATTTAAGTGATTGAACAAATTCTTGAAGTTAACAATGATATTAATAATAACTCTTACAATATCGAATCTGAACAATATTTACTTCAGAGTTTATTAGAAAAATATTCAATTTTATCTTTAGCAATAAAAGATAACCTATTATACTCAAACCAAGATCACACCAAAAACAAATTGGTTCAACATAAATATGAAAAAATTTTAAAGACTTTTCATTTTTACTCAGAAAAATCGGATCGAATAACTTTTATTTCGATTATCAGAAAACAAATTATTCTAATTCACTTTTTAAATTATTATATCATCTAAAAAAACTTAATAATGATTCATATGACTTTGATAAAGCAAAAAAAGAATTTGACCAAATCAAGTCACCTACACTTTTTGAATTAACTAAAGAATTTAAAAAAGCTAATAAAGATTTGACAATTTATTATAGATATACTAGTAATAGTTGTATTACCAATTGTTTATCTTTAGAAAAATTTAGTTTATCCAAGGAAACTACTTTGGAATTATTATTATTATCTTATGAGTTTGCTAAATAGTTTTAATAAATATTTTAATGTAATACAAGTTTGTTAATTAAGTACATACAAAAATTATCTTATAAATAAAGATTTGTATTAACACCAATCTAGAGATTAAAAGTTTTCAAATATAATTAAGTAATATGAGTTTGCTAATTGGTTTTAATAAAAATTAACTTATAATTAAATACAAGTAAAAAACTAAATTGTATTAAGTTTGAGTATTCCATCGCAAATAGCGCAAGATATTAATCTTTATTTGAATCATCTTCTTTACTCAAGTAGTCGTCAATTGTAAATTTATTATTTTCGTAATAAATATCACTATAATCATAATTATTGTTTGTTGGGAGTCTGTCTTCTTTATATTCAGAACTTTTTTCACCATATTTGCTTGTCATCCATTTATACCATTCTGTTTCAGTTTTGTTATAGAGAAATCCAATAATGATTATAGTCATGTTATCAGTGCCAATGCCTTTACCAGTTTTAGATAAACACCGTTCCATTAAATCTTCACAAGCTCTCTTGAGATCATTATGTTCAGCAATGTTTTTGCGAATAAAGCTAACCACATCTTGCGATTTAAAGCAGTCCCATATACCTTATATTTTTTTTTAAAAAAAATAAAGCTAATGTTGCGCAATAATATTAAATTTTAAAAAATTTTTTTATCATCACAGGCTAGGACTAAAAACTCTGTAGATTCAATTTTAATCCTGTGTTTTTTAACATCAGGATATGCTTAAAATAAATAATAAAATCAATATTTTTAAAAATTTAATAATTATAAATCAATAACATTGGATATAGATTTTCACCTGTTACAATTTGTTTTTCTACACCTAATTTTGTATTTTGCTTAAATTCGAAGTCACCAAGAGCACATGACAATGCCAAGTTTTCTATTAACACGCATGTTAATGGCGTCATATGTATAAAATTAACATAAACAGCTAGCAAAAAGTCTCATTCTATGAGAGCAATTATGTCAATACTTGAATTTTATACTACTATTAACTCTTCCAAATTCTACAAATCCACCAGCTTCCGTAATTCGATCAGATTCATCTATAAATTAACATTAAAAAAAGAATATATAATATTTTGATACAGTAAGAAAAATATAAAAACCTGGATTACTGGGCTTATGATCATCTGACATTGGGATTGCCATATCATCCTCGCTGAGAACAGCAAGAGAATCTCCTGCATTTCCCTAATAATTAATAGATAAATCATCAAAACATTAACCTTGAGCACAAACAAACTTACAACATATATTTCACTATCTGGTGTTACAATAGCTATAACTGCGGTACATCCTGAAAGATTATTTTGTCAACTTGGATCTAAAAAAATTAAAGGTATTAAAAAATATTAAATGAAAGGTAATTAAATATAGATTAAAAGAATAAATAAATACTATTTTTTATATCGTTGTCTGTTCCCAAAAAACTATTCTTTATTGCACTTACAATATCTGTCTTAAACTTAGAATCATTTGTGATACGAACATGAAGATTTTCTTCACTATATTTTGCTACTTTTTGTCCTATTATTAAAAAAAAATTGAAGGTATGCAAAAGCATTTAAATTGCATCACTTGGAAAATGAAGAAAACAGTTATAACGCAAACTAGAATTTATACCACCGTGGCCATCGAACATGTCAAAGTAACTATATTCTTTTTTATCAAGAAGCTTTAATTAAGTAGTATGAGCATCTTCCATACTAATACGCTAGCCTTTAGGGATGGTAAAAAAACATTTTAAACTGTTTTTTAAACGTTTTTTATTGTTTTTAAACTTTTTTTAAAACATCGGCATCTGGCGATGAAATTTAGCTAAAGCTAAAAATATTGCTTCTGATTGGTTAATTTTAGTTTCAGCTATTTGATCGAAAAAAACTGATATATTATTTTTTTTATATAATTTTGAATTTATTATGAATTTATTACGAATATTACATATAAAAAAAATAGAAAAATTATAAGAAATATGTTTAATCGCTTTAAGTTTTTTTTACGTAAATTACTGATTTGCTTATAGACTAAATACAAGTTTTAAGTTTTACATTTGTTGATATTGAAGTCTATGTATAGTACATATGTAAATCGAATCCAGAATATATAGCATCATAAAAAATAGGTTTAGGAAGACAAAGAATAAAATTGATAACATATTCTCGTCACATATTTAACCACCTATCCAACACTAATGTAATATCAGTTGCTTCGTCTAGAATAGTATTCAAATTTTGTCATTCAATCTGATATTCAGAATCCAATAAATTATTTGCCAAAAAGGGTTTTCAATAGCTGTAAAAGGAATGCCCGCTGAATAAAAAAACCTTGCTAGAATACTATCCACATCTGTTTTATCTAATTGTATATATTGAACTAGAATTTTGGCCCTGAAGTTTCAATGAATCTTTTAAGCTTTTTACATTTTGATAAATGACCTTTTAATTGATCAATTAAGTCAACACAGTCTCAATAATTACATCTTTGACAAGGTGTCATTTGACTATGTTTATCGGTTTCGGTAATTTTTGTAAAGTTTAAACAGATTTCTTTTAATAGTGTCTTCCAAGAATATGAGATGCTGACTTTTTTTTTTTTTTTTTTTTACTTTTGAATATTAGTAATCACAATAAATATATACTATAAAATTGAATTAGTAATTTTGGATTATGTCAGAAATGTTTTAAAACATTTTCAAACAAATTTAAATTCAAACAATCATGTTTTTTAAGATCATGATTTAAATCATTTGCCATCCCTACCAGCCTTGCATTGCAGATGAAGCATACAGTATGCAGTCGTCATGATTGGAAAATGTGTGTTTTTCTTTAGCTAGTTCTGAAAGTGTTTGACCCATTTATTCTAACATAAAAATAGTAGAAGACACGAGTAGTTTAATATATGATAATAAGCTTGCATTTTTTTTTCTTTCTTTCATTTTGTTCAATTGTAATTTAGGTTATTTTCAAAAATTATTTCAATTGAAATTAGGATTGAATTTTTTTTTTTACATATAAATTGGCAAAACAATTTAAAAAACAAGTTGATTGTTACAAAAAAAAAAAAAAACAAACAGAATATTCATAATGACCAGTAATTTATCATGTGTAACTGCAGAAGCTAATAAATTAATTTATTTATTTTTAGGATTGTAATTTCTAACAATTTATAATTTTAAGATTCAAATTCTAAACTTCATTAAAGCTCTTTATTTGAATATAAAGACCCATTTTATTTTTAATATTAACCAATTCTGCTGCTTAAAAATTCAAAGTATTATCTATTTTTAACATCAATTACATCAATTAGATATCATATTCTTCTTCTGTTATTTTTTTAATTAAAAATATATATTTAGTTTCAAGATTATGAAAAAAAGAGTCATTTTTTTTTTTATCTGTATCTTCAATTTCTTCATCATCAATAAAAGAATCTGAAGTGTCATAACTATTGTCAAACATATCCCTTAAATTGTAACATAGGCAAATTTGCCTGCGAAGATTTTTACTAATTTTTTTAATATTTAAATTTTTTAATAAAAT